AAGAACCTACACAATTCGCGGCAATCCGCCTTCTGGTTCCGGTGGGACCACATCACAAATGCCGTCCGACCAACTTTTCCTTCCAAATGCCAATAGATTCTTCGAAACCCACTGTTTTGTCATCCCATTTGGTTTGAGGCCTCTTTTCGCACCCACATCTGCCCTGTACCTCGGGCACATTGGTGCCATTCTGACGCGTAGAGGCTGCAACATGCACCCCTACGAGCCGGGTTTGAGTCCCGCTGTGGGGCTCGAATGGACGACTATGTGAAATTCTGTGAAAACGTGATGCGAATACACGTCATCTTTTGAGCTATTTCGATCGGATCAACTAATTCGTGAGCGGAATCGCTCGTCTGCAACCGTGAATAGATCCGCTCGGTTGCGACGCCAACTCTTCTGTCCTCCTCTTGACAGTCCCCGTCGCCACGGCACACTTCCTCATGACGCAGTCCGAGACGCCTCTTGAACTCGGAGCCCAAACGGCCCCAAACGACTTCTCTCTCCTGCCCGACCTGTCGTTTCCACCTCAAACTAATCTGGCTTTTCAGCTCCCCAGGCCGGAGTCGAACTCGGGTCAGGTCGGGCCGGGTCGTGGAGTGGGATGAAGAAGAGGCGGTTTCAGTGCAGGGGCCAGTTTCACACAAGCCAAAACTCGCTTAATTCACTCTTTTATTTCGGGACCGTCGTCAATAAGCGAAACTAGTATCGCAATTAAACTAGATGACAGTACTATACAAGTAGGAAGTAGTTAGAAAAGCCGGAATATTACATTTAAAAAAAATTAGAAATAGCCACGAAACATACTCATCAGTTTAGTTTTTCGTTCTTAAGTGGGATTTCGAGACTACTAGTTTAGCGTTTGTTTCATCGGCAAGAGCCTCATTGTGAAAATGTAGTTTATGAGATGTATTCACCCAATTTTATTTTAAGGTGATAAGGGACTGATAGAAGAAGAATGTTCCCATAATTGTATGAGTTGAGCCGAAGTTTCCATAGAATTTCACATAGCCTTGCTTCCCCAAAGTTGTTTTCATCCAGGCAGGAGTGGACTGCAGTTTCGGCATCTCATACTACTGATTTACTGTTAGTCTCGAAACAATATTTAAATCCGAAAAATATACTAAGATTACCCTGAGAATTAACTATCAAAATCATCCTATATCTAACTACATTTGATATAATTTATTTTTGTTAGATTCCCATTTAGGTATTGTGTTGAGACTACGAGTAAATCAGTAGTATGATGTGAATTCACCCGATTTCATTTAAGGTGGTGAAGGACTGGTAGAAGAATAATTTTCACACAATGCTATGCGTTGAGATGATGTTTCCATTGCATTTCACACAGCCTTGCTTTCCCAACAGTTGGTCTTATCCAGGCAGGAGTGGACTGCAGATTCTACATCTCATACTACTGATTTACTGTTAGTCTCGAAGCCATGATTAGATGCTAAAAATATACTAAGATTACTCTGACCACTAACTATCAAAATCATCCTATATCTAGCTACATTTATAAGAATTTATTTTTATTATATTCCCATTTAAGTATTGTGTCGAGGCTACAAGTATATCAGTAGTATGATGTGAATTCACCCAATTTCGTTTAAACTGATGAAGGACTTGTAGAAGAATAATTTTGACACAAAGCTATGAGTTGAGCTGACGTTTCCATTGAATTTTTCACATCAAACATTACGGCATACCTTCACGAGTGCCATTGCGTCACAGGATGAATGTTAATGTCAGGAAAAGCCAAGCATTTTCCCATATCACGTTATGTGGTGGAATTATCGATGAATCAAAGTTATATTTGCCATTGCAATCGACTATATTACTTATTTTTCGAATTAAGTATTGTTTTAGTGACTATCAGCAGATCAGTAATTTGAGATGTATTCACCAAATTTTATTTAAGGTGATAAGGGACTGATAGAAGAAGAATGTTTCCATAATTGTATGAGTTGAGCTGAAGTTTTGATCGAATTTCACACAGCCTTGCTTTCCAAAAAGTTGTTCTCATCCCGGCT